AAGAATGCTAAATTGATACGCTTTCCCAAGTGTTGGTTGCACCAAATATTTCCTGTTCCGGTTTCGTTATGCTCTCAGGACATTCTGTTGTTAACGTGTACAGCATCTTATCAGGTTAGCTTGAGCGGAGCTGGTAATCACCTTCCATCACTCATCACTGCTATCTCTTTCAGTAGATGCGTCTTGTGATGAGATAAAGTGTCAATTTGAGAGTGAGGATGTATGAAAATGGTACTCGAAATAATCCTACAGAACTGTATCACGGATTACGCTAATGTGATCAAATATGCAGAATTTGGCAGTATTGTGGAAAGACTGAAGTATTTCGACATATCTTCAGGAAATCAGCTACATCTCTTCAAATTAACCAGATAAGCCTAGAATTTGCTGAACCCGATGGAGCCAAGAAGCTATGGGGTTGCTGGGCAAACCTGGGGATGCAGGTAGCTCGAAAATGCTGCTCGTGATATTCCTATAGAACTGTATCATTGATCACGCCATAGAATTCAAATGTGCTGTTCTTGACGATATTATAGGATGGTTCAAGTAGTTTGACATATCTTCAGAAAATCGGCTACATCTGCTCAAATAAACAAAATATTTCATGAAATGTATCATACTGAAAGCCTAGAATCTGCTGTATCCAACGGTATTTCATTATGAGAATTGAACATTAACCAGTGTTTAACGATTGAGATTTGATCAGATTAACTGTTGTAAACAGCATGCAATGATATAACACTGATGTTGAATATATTCCCTGCGAATACAACTCGATGGTTTGTGACAAACAATCAGATTAATTATCACAAGTTATTCAGTTCGCAGCAGAAATGTGCCATGCATTGATTTAGTGGTATCAGCATTCCATGCAATAATACAACATTGATGGTGAAACAATTGGGAAAAATATTATGTTAGCATCGAAAACGTTTTTCATATCAAACCCAACGAAGTATTTACAATCCCAAATGACATACATGACCAAAATGTGACCAAAATATGGGTGGGGGCATGTAATGACGGCTGAGCAAACCATCGAAGGGGATAATGGAGCTCACAAGCATGAGGACCGCTCGTCTTGAACCTAAAAGTACTCAGTTGTGCGGTGCATTCCAATTCGCATTTTAGTAATGACATCCAAAAGAGGTATCAGTTTGCTCGGAATCTGACTGAATTCACATTTTGAGATTCCAATATCCCATATTTCGGCCGAACTTCAGAGTTTTTCCGTCAGAATCCGAATCTCGGAACTCCGAGCGAAATTTGTCGGATTTTTACGACGGAATTCGGTCGGATGCCATCACGGACGGCGCTCTTCTAGTTGTGAAATGACGCAATACTCAAATTAGTAATGGCGTTGGACCGGCGTTCAGTTGAAAAATCTGACAAACTTCGGTCGGAATTGCGACATTCGGATTCCGACTGAAAGACTCCGGAAGTCGGTCGGAATTGCGAGTGTCAGAATCTTAAAATGTTGATTCGATCGCATACAGACCGAAGAATTCCGAGAGTGCAACAAAATTGTTGGTGATCCGTAAAGAAGACGCTGTGCTATTTGGCCGATACATTTCTGGAAGGTGCTCATTTATATGCGAAGGAGGAATTCAGGTGCCATATTTAGGGCGTATGCAATGGTGTACTTATTCTGACAAACAACGTGAAATGAAGAGAAAAGACAGAAGCGTCTTGGAATTGGGACATTGGTCGACTGGATGAGGTTCTTTGCCGATAATCACGTTGCAGTATTACACGTATCATCCGGTACGCACTGGTGAGCCTCAATGAGCAGTTGAAATGGATCATACAATGCTGCTAACTGATCGGAATTACGGGCTTGGGAGAGTAACGCAACAGCACCGGATCTTCGATGGGATAACGCAAACAAACAGCAATTGGTGTTTCACGGTACCGGTAGAAAGAAGGATTGCACACATTCCTGTGCATATTGCTGCTGATAAAGTTTTATCGAGCAGAAACTTCATATCTTTCTGATGTGAAATCTCTCGTTCTTGACTGATGAATCCAGTTATATACTAAGGAATAGTGATGTCTCTAATACAATAGTTTATTGCACGTTTTTGAAAACTGTTCTATACTATTCTATCCCGCTCCAAAATGACTCTATTCTATTCTATTCTATTCTGTGCGTTCCTCGTTTAAGAACTGTTCTATTCTATTCCTCGGAACAGAACAGGAATAGAATGGTACAACTGGAATAGAGACAGCACTCATCAAATCTCCTCACCACATCTTAATCGCGATTTATCCAGCTCACATAATTCGTGCTGTAATGAGCAACAAAATTCGTTGTTGTGCTCATCGACACGACATTTATACCGTAATATTTTATCTGAATGTTCACCAAGTCGCATCTTCTTATATTGTTCTACAGGATCCTGGGAAAGTTTTGATTTGGATGGATTTTTTGTGTGTTTTTAGCGTTTAAGGACTACTTATTAAGAGATCTGTATGGCAATGTAAGGATCTGCAATCGTTCAAGAAAAATTTTGATGGTTTTGTGCAGATCTTTCGCATTTCGTCGTCATTTTTTCATGCCAATGTTTTCTATCGAGTGTAATTTTATTGAGGTAAAGATTCACTTGCCAAAGATTCAGAGATTAGTAGATTCACATGCCTGTTCATTCCTTAAGAAACGACTGGTTCAACATGATTTAACTTTATTATTCTTGTGTTACCCGCGTTATTTAGCTTACGTCGTAATGTTTTGCTTAGCGAATGGGCACTGATTCAATGAAGTTTACAAATTTTCAGGTATAAATAAGTTAAGTCCATCTGTGTTGCACTCATTCAAGTTGCTGTCAAAATGGTTCGTTTCACTGAGGAATTTTTTGGTTTTTTTCGCGTCTTATCTATTTTTTTCATGTTTTATCGAATTTTATTTCCAATATCTTAATTCTTAATGTTCATATTAACTGCATTACCTATCGAGTTCCTTCGTTTTTGTTTGGTGTTATCGTAATATCGTCTTTCCATCTTCATATTACGTAGAAAGAAAGGAGTGCACAATTCTGAACTAAAGTATCTGAAATCAGAATATCTTCGAAAAACTTTATTAAAAAAACAATGCGATGGGTGTGTCATCACGATCGAAATTAAATCATTGAAATAATTTGCTTCGTTTTGTAGACCGACTCTGTGGTGACCATTCGTACTCGGAAAGTTATGACGAATCGATTGTTGGCTCGTAAACAAATGGTTATTTTTCATTATTATTATCTGCTTTATTGTTGTTTTTTAAATTTTATCTGTATTACCATTGTTATTATCATCGATTCTTACGGTGCATTTTATCAATATCATTGCGAATCACATATCTACTAAACGTCGTTCTAGTCGTTTCTGTGCAGAGTTCACATTCAAAATGAGTTTTTCAATATCTGGTTATGAACTCACGTCAGTTGAAGTTTGACAAGACCAAGCGATCCGATCCGCTCTATTAAGAGGTTTTGCCATGAAAAAACTCTATCGGTTGAGCTAACGATAATCACAAATTAAGGTTGTCGATATTCTGCACCCAAATCGGGCGTCTGTTCCAAAAACTGAGGTTAGAGAGAAGTTGGCTCAACTCTACCGAACCACGCCAGATCTTGTGTTCGCGTATGGATTCAAATGTCAGTTCGGTGGTGGAAAAAGCTCTGGCTTCGCACTCGTCTACGACACACTCGATTTGGCGAAGAAATTCGAACCGAAATATCGTTTCTTGAGGGTGAGTTTTAATTGAATTATGCGTGTTTTGTATGGTGATTGTGCTGTTGATGTGGTATGATCATCAATTCGGACAACTTTCAATTCGAGCGTTGTCCAATGGTTTCGTTTGGGATGGTTCAAATCCATACCTGAATAATTTGGCTTTGCTGTTTTAAGGTTAACGATTAGTAATAGGTATACATTCGTTCGTTATTATCAACAATACAAGTCGTGTTGCATTTATGGAAGTAAAGCCACGTTATTTGTTGTCATATTGTGAAGACCTTTTCTGAATTTTCATTTGGGTTTATCGTGATATGTAGATGAATATATTAGTATACTTGTTTTATACGATTCCAGGCTTCCCTGATTTGAGTTACAGACAGTAGCTTTGTTCATGAAAGATGTTGTGAGCAGATTTAATTCATTTCTTCAGTTGAATGAAGTGTAATTTTCATTTGACTTTTCACATAAGTGCAAATAATATTTCAGCAAAACCCGTTGAAAGTGGAGAAGACGGGTCGTAAACAGCGCAAAGAGCGTAAGAATCGACAAAAGAAGGTTCGTGGTACCAAGAAGACGAAAGTATCTACTGGAAAGAAATAAATTGAAATCGTTGGATGTCATTGATATTATTAAACTTGATATTGTTATTATGATTATGTAATGATGGTGATGTGCCGATGTCATATTCAGTTGCATGTTAATTCATATAATTGTTGTTGTTGTTATTGAAAAGACACTCAATAAATAAGTGGTTAATTATTACTGATGCAGTTTTAGTGTTTGATCTTAAAACAGTTCAAATGATATGTTCACTTCATAACTTGCAACGGACATTACCACTCAATCTCATTCATTTCTAATACTCACTAATTTTACTGGCACTTTACTTGTTTTACATTGAAAAAAAAACAACTTATATACGGATAAGAAGAAATGAGTTTCGAGCGAACGAAAAGACACAATCAGGGAAGGAATACAAAAGAGATCTATGGTGTAATGGAAGCGTTGGGATTTGTTCTTTGATTCGTTTTTGGTCGATATTTGGGTTGGTGTAGCATTGTAACGGTGTGAAGTGGGTGCTTGGAGTGGTTGAAAGGTATAGCTGATGGATGAGAATTAATGAGTGATGTTGGGCGATTTGGAATTGGTAGCTGAGAGTGGTGGTTGTGATTGATTGATCAGAAGAGGTGGATGTATTGCGCTGGAATGATGATGGGGTATTGAGCAAATGATGACTGGAATTGAATCGTTCTGAAGCGATTTGATTGTGAGGTTGTATCGCATTGTGGAATCGTGGTGATCCTCGGTAGTGTGCACACAAAATTGAATGAAACATCATGAGGAAGAAGATGTATTCATATTTGTCAATACCTGATAATCTATCGCAAATGTTTGACTTTTATATCTTCAATCAGTAAAATTCAAGCACATTGCAAATGCAGTTCATTTCTGTTTCATTCATTTATTCAGACGATGAATTCGAGAAATATGAAACACTTTCAGTGTCGTATTATAAAAATTACAATTGAACTGTCAATTTGAGGATTGTGTACTGATAAGAGATTAATTATTCGAGCTAACGAGATTGATCGAAGCAAGTACAAGGAAATGAGTTCAAGAATGGCTGTTCAACTGGAAGATATTTCCAGATGTAAGTTAGGGTGTTTTTTCGATTTTTTTTCCATGTTCTAAATTTTGAAAATTTCATATTATATTCGATTAAGATTATAAATTACATGTCGTGATGAATATAAAGTCCAAAATTTAACTAATATTCGTAAAATACATATTTGCGAGATATTCGCTATGGCGTTTTATTACGTTAACCATTATATTGCCATTATTATTATTGTCAGTTCATTGTATAACAGAATGAATTTTCAATAGATATGGATGGAATTCGAGAACAGAAACGAATCAGTGAGCAAACCGCAAATTCGTTGCGCAGGGAAAGAGAAATGGTCACGAAACAGGTCATTTTTATTGTTATTCATCTCGTATTATTACAGATTCTTTCATCGGTTTGTAGTGTCAATAATCAAATTTATTTATAATAACATCAATCATCATTTCATTAACAGCTCATTCCGTTTCAAATTAATTCGTTCATTTTAACCATCTAGAAATTTGGTCATTCGAAACGAGTGAATGTTAACTCGTTGATGAAGGTTGTGATACTGTATTGACTAGTGATAAATAATCTTTTGAAAATATCAGATATCGAATGCGTTCATCAGAATCTCATCTGTTATGAAGTGATAGAGAATTCGGCATTAGTATATTGGTTATCAGTTTAAACAGATGATGCAAAATCGGTTGAAAGGAGTGGTGTGATGAAGTGTGATTGTGACGGTTATGTGTTTGCAGATAGAGCAACTGCAGATGAAGTTAGAGTTGTTGGATAGGAAAATTGAAAAAGAGGAAGAAATACATCGTCGACTGCAGGATTGTATCGATAGGGCTGATGGTACCTATGAAAAGGTGAACTGAAACTGATAATCAAATTGATTTCGGAGATTTCTCTCTGATGCATTTATACTTTGTTTTTCCAAAAAAAGAAATGATGGTTTCTAAATGTTTATTCGTTAACGAAAAGTTCGGCATTATTATATCGGCCAGATTTCGAACCTTCATTCTGAATACAGATTCCATGCAACAATAATATAACAATAATCATATCAATGTTATTGCCATTATTATTGTTATCATTACTGTTACTATTGCAGTTACTCGAATCGTCACAAAGTCTCGCGGATTTCGTCAAGAAGGAATATCACGATGCGAGAAAGCCGTCTCCGCCTTCCACCGATGATGGTATTAATGACTGACTCAACTGCAATATCTTTTTGATTTCCATTCGACTATAAACTTTTCTTCAAACACTCTTAACGCCGAAATGCTCTCTACTTAGAAGTTTTCTTTGAATAGTTGCAATGATTTTGAGTTATTGTGGGTTAACTCAGTGCATTTCGTCTGGAAGAAATGTTCCTAAAGCAGAAATTTATATGTTTATTATTTCAAAGTGCCTCTATGGAATGTCATAACTTATGCGGTATCCCTTTTCATCGTTTCGAAATGATTTTTGTGTAATGAACTTGTGTATTTATTTATACATAGATGTTGACTTCTTTTACGATTCATTTGCTTATTCATTATTATTATTATTGCTAATGGGTGCGCTATTTTGAAATCATTTCTTTATGCCATTCACGACTGCACTACCAACATTACTCATAACGAGTCTATTTCGTTACAACTTTTCACAACTGAAAGCAAAAAAAGAGTTATTCTTCAGTTTGAAAAATGCCGAAATTGGTTATGAAAAAAACGTATAATAAATGTTAATTGCTTCTTTGAATGGGTGATTGCACGAATTTTGAAAGAGTCAGTGTAACAGAATAGTGCAATATTATTAATCATTGTTCAACACTCAACATTTCGTATAACATCAGTGTGCTTGTATTTACCTTTGGATTTTTTATTTGAGTGTATTATTATTTGTGTTGAATTATCAATGCACAGAGAGATGACTGAACACTCTCACAAACATAGTATAACATTTGTATGGTTTGAGTGGCACTGTTACTGTATGATATATTGTTGCTATTATTATTTATTATTGCTGATATTATTATTTTTATCATCACAGTACAACAATGAATACAGTTTCACTGTACGAGAATGGTCTCTTCGGAATGGATGTTTGAGTGAGCATTCCACTAAATTTATTCAGTAATGAATCATTGCACTAAATCTGTATATAAGTGAGATGTGTTGTTCATCTGCATAGATAAGATGTATTTGTAATGATGATGAATTGAACTGATGTGGATTTATATCACTTACTGTTCATATTTCGACTGATTGTTCACATTGTATTGTTTATTCGTTATTTTATGCATTGCTCTTGTTTGATACTCATCGATTGCATTTCAACTGGTTCAGTTTCGTGTAATAATACAGAAACTGAATAAAAGTTTCTCATTTAGCGATTGAACCGTGTCCATTTGGTTGTGTTGTTATTGTTGAAACGAATGACGCTCTTATATCTTACATATTCCAGTCAATTCTTCTCGCAATTTCCGGATTAATTCCAGTTTCGGTGCTTTCCCGAACCGATGAGGTGAACATTCGTTCATTATTGTAATAGTAACGTACTAATAATGATAATAATAAAATGAGGACATATTGACGAAAATGTGACTAATCAATTAATGATGATGATGATGATGATGAATGTAGGCGGTTAGGTGTGTGCATGTAGACACGTGAGAGGAGGGTGCAGTTTATTAAAGGGATGGATGGTTGATACGTACGGAATACAAAATGAATCATGACTCCAACTGTAGTCATGCCACACTTCATCTCACCTATATTATTACCTTTTACTATTACTATTATTATTATTATTGTAAATTACTATTATTAGTGCCATCTTGAGTTGTTGTACGATTAAGATAAGTGCCGAAGTATGCTCGATACTAAGTGAATACAGTGAATTGTGTGCGCGATCATGTGCATTTTTTCATCATACGAATAAACTTCATATGTAATAATAGTATAAAAGTGTGACAGAAGCAATGATGCAGTATAGAACTAAACATGTAGTATAATATAAAAGTTTATTTAGTGTAGTATGACCGTACGTACTTAATTAGCATTGCTATGTTAGTAATAAGCGGATTTATTTTGTATCAATGATAAAAGTATTAATTCAGTCATATATGCTGGCTGCAATGCTGTGCACAATAAAGTGTACGTTAAGGAATGTTTTGAAGATGTTTACTCTGAACTAATTTTACGCGTCTGTTTTTGTGTGTTATTTCCTTCGGATCTTTACCGATCAACAACCTCTCTCTGCCTGTGAACAATGTCTTGGTGTAGTACCTGCTCGAATGAATAATGACGCTTCTTTCTTTGTGTGATGCAAAAAGAAATTTTATTTTCCGTCAAAAAATCGCTTAAACATTACCAACGATTTCTTGAAATTTACATCGTAAAGTTGAAAATATTTACTTTTAATCTCTTTTTTTTTTGAGAACGTTATTGCTGTGGAAAGATCGCGTTGAGAAGATTTTTGTATTCATCAACAAATACACCTGCTCTTTGTTGTTTTTTTTTTCATATTTATTCATTTGCGTGCTCCCATTTCATCGAGTCTATTTTCGTTATTGCTGTTGTGGAGATTCTACGAGCGCATTGTTTATCGTCGTTAAATCCACTCATAACTATCACTGCATTCGAGCATCTTCCATAATGTCAGAAACATTCCCGAACGCCAAATGTTCCACTGATCTAAATAAGTTCCAGTAATAATACTCTAAATCGTACCGCTGTTGTTTTTGTGGTTATTTTTCGTACACATAACAAATTTTGTTGACGAATTGTCTTTCAGGTAACACTTCATATTGATTGATTTGTTTTGATCAATCGCAGTTGATCGCAGTGAACATTACAAACAGAGATGAAAAAATTGAAACGGCGTATCAGTGCAGCATTCCACAGGAGCGTTAGTAATAGTAGCAATAACAATAATAATAACAATATCAATAGCAATAGCAATAGCAGTAATGGTTCTTTGACTGCGAATATGAGGTACGTTTTTAATATTCTTATCAGTATTATTATTATTATTATTATTATTATTATTATTACTGTTATTATTATTATTTTATTATTATTATTATTATTATTATTATTATTACTATTATCTAGACTGTTGATTTACTGTGTGAAGTAGTTATTATTTTCATAAATAATAATTACTTGATTGGATGCTAAAAGTTTAATCTATTCAATTGTTATTACTATTTTCTCATGATCATTATTTTGATAGCACATTCGTTGATTATCAGTTCGGTTTTAAAGCGGGTTAATATGAGTGTTTTATCAGTATCACTTTGTTTTGGCGGTTGCTAACAGTTGCTGATTGTTCTCTGTTATAATGAACCAACACTGTTAGCATTTGACGTCGATTTTCATTACTTTCATTGTTTTTCTACCTGAGAATGTGAAGATGAAGTTTTTTTTTTGAATGAAAAATTTTCAGGACGTGGAGTTTATCGGATTCGATGAATGAGCTGGCCGAAAGACTCGCGATGGACGGCGTGATCATCGAGGAGTGCGAATCAGTAAATGGAGTGTATTACAATCCTATGGGGCGATACAATTCGAGCAATAATATAAACGATTCAATACTCTCCAGATACCATCACTCACCAGCGTCATCGTCGCATTACAATAATAACAACAATTACAGTCATCAGCGAAATCAGTCACTAAAGAAATCGATCACCAATTATTCGCTGCCTGCAACAGTCAACAACAAATACCACCATCAATATAAAACTTTCTGTTGGTTTTGTTTTATGTTCGTTGAACGATTGAAATTTTGCTGAATTTAACATTTCTATCATTTTTTCAAGTCAGATTGATTATTTGATTTCAGTGTATTCCATTCGATTTGAATATGCTTTTGTGCGTAGTTTATTCTCTGCACTCGTTATAAATAGGTAAATAAATGTTACAATAATTATAATAATAATACAATAATAACAATAATGAAAATAGTAAGAGGGAGATAGAATAGTGGGATAGTAATGAAAACAAAATATGTAATTATTTATGCGTGCGATTTCTGAAACATGGCTAAAACATTTAAGTAATATATAAGGATGAAGTAATATGGTTGTATTGCACTAGTGATAATATAAAAGTAAGTTTATGATAGAGAGTAATATATGAAATAGTTTTGTGAGATGGAGCCAGTTTGAAGTTAGGTTCTGACCGAGAGATAAGTTTTTGAAGTCAGCTTATATCGCAGTGAGATGGATGGATACATGTGAAAGTACATGAACAGATTGAGACGAGAGGTGACGAGAAAGTAAGCGGATGAAGTAAAAGTCGGTTGCTGGAATTAAGAGGAAGTTATAAATCCTACAGCGATCCGTAAATACATCGTTTGGTCAATCTAGTGGTGATAGGGATATCCATGCGACACATGGATGTACAGAATGCAAGCATTTATAAGTGTGGATAAAAGTTAGGATACATCGAAATGGATTTGAGTAAGGATAGATATACTGAAGAAGTATTTGAGATATATGAAATATAGCACAGATTCGGTTAATATCTCAAGGAAAGAGCTCATTGTTATAGAATGGTTATCTTAAAAATTTCATATAATAGTGAAGGATAGTGATGAATGGGATAGATTAGCAAAGAAGAACGCATGAATGTATTTGTTTGTATGTGTTTCAGTGAATGCTGAAGAGTCAGCCTAAGCAGCTGAGATCATGCACAGACGTGTAATTAATAATATAAGTAGCATCTCTAAGGGATGTGGTTTAGACAAGTCGATGTGCGCATGCTGTGTGTCGCAGTTATAGCCAGTTAAGAGGTTAAGCGTGAACGTTAAGCATCAATCTATTTAGGGTGTAGTCATAGGGTTACAGAGCAGTTATGTTGTACTTCTGGGCATAGTGATCATGGTGAGCAGGCTGATGACCTATATGAGTTAACTCGAGTATCTAAGTAGGGCGTAAAAGTGAGAAGCTGTATACTCTGTCTGAGGCATGGAATAAAGCGAGAAGATATAGGCTGTAGTGAATAAAGGTAAAAGAAGTGTGCTCTATGAGACATTAGAGATAGATTAAGCGTGAAACGCATGAAAGATGAAGCATAAAATATACATGCACACATACTTAATGCGTGAAGAATGAAGATATATAGATCGATATATATGCGTTTTGTGATATTAAGTGTATGGATGAAGAAACAGCAGGCAAGCAACATCATGTAACCATACCAATTATTATAGCGCATCATCGTCTGTGCTTGGATTTATTGGTCTACTTTATCGATGAACGACTATGTTTCATATTAATCACTCTGATTTGATCTGGATTATCGCATGAGTATTAGTGTAGTAGTTACGCTGTTATTATAGCACTACAGTGGGATTGAAGGACTTAGCAACATTTTGAATTTATTAAAGATGAGATTGGGAATGAGGATTTGAATTTATTATGTTTTGTAGATGATTGTTGTAATGTTATGTATATGTGAATGTGGAATGCTTATTTTGATAGTGATGAATATTTATAACGTGAATGAGAAATACTTTATTAGATCGAAATTGTCTTATTGGAGCGTGTATTAACAATTGAGTAGCATTTATTGACATTTATTCATACTTGAATTCATTCAGCCAAGTTTGTCTGAAGATGAAGCTCACTCGGAATTTGAAAGTATGCAAATAAGGTTATGAAGAATCAGCGAGGATATCCATCCCAATCTGTTAATGGATACGTGTGTATTTAAATAGATAATTGCGGATATTGTCTTGAATTGACATGGGAAGTGATTATGTTTATGGGTGTATACGAGAGTGCTAGATACGTGTTTTGTGTTTGATTGAATAGTTTTTGTTATCCTTTGACACGTCAATGTCGGAGCTTGAACTCGTGTAATTTGTGTTGATATGCTTGAGCGATTGTTGCAGTGAATTATGGTAGAGAAAAGTAGTTGTTGTGTTGCTCGACGTTGATTCATAGGAACGCATCTGCAGTTGCATTACTATCGCTCTATGACTGAATGAGAAGGAAATTGCGCTAAGAACATGGCATCGGAAATCTCGAAATCAGTAACATTCCACAATCTTTGTGCTGAAGACGACACTCTTTCCCCACTACCCTCCCAACTACCAACTCCAAACTCATTCTCATCATGGATTCAGTTGTTCCTTCTCAAAAAGAGACACCTCTCTTCACAACGCTCCTTAATAAGACCGTCTGTATCACTGTGTGAGTTTGATTTAAAATCTCTTTTTGATGATTGCCAGAATGTTTAAGTGATAATCAATGTAACAATTTCAGCCGTAGTTGATGAAACAAGGGCATTGGGTTCAGATGGTGAAAGTATCGATGTATCTCCCAGTACCAGCGATCAGTCAGGGACAACCTCCGACCGTTGTGCAGTTAACGTGAAAATGAGACCGAAACCAACCAGAAGATGGAGTGAAGTGGGTTATTATTATTTCTTTATTATTGTTAATGTTCACCACTTTATTGTTATATTTATTATTATGATCGCGTACTTTAGGAAGATATCCAGAAGAGACTCTCTTTGCCAGCGGATTTACGTTTACCGTTGAGCGTTGTGGAAAAATTGAATCGCACGCCAACTTTGGACCAACCTCTAACGAGAAAAAATCGACGTGCTTCATTGGTATTCATTATTATCGATTCACATTTACTGTTATTTATCATTAATATTTCTGTTGTAATATTCATTTTCAGAGTGAAATTGGTTTTGGTAAACTAGAAACATATGAAAAATTGGAAAAACTCGGTGAGGGTACATATGCGAGCGTGTATAAAGGACGTTCACGTTTAACCGACAAATTCGTGGCGTTGAAGGTTTGTTATCGTTTTATTTTTTATTCATCTCAGTGAAGTTTTGAGAAAAACATTGGATTATCAATCACATGTGAGCAAAAGAAACGAGTTGCATACCGTTCTGTGCGGCGATTTAAACATTTTTTGTTCGTACAGTGAAATTTTTTTCATTATTTTCAATTATTCTCCAGCGTTGTTGATAAGGTTTCAGTGGAATATTTTGCAGGAGATTCGTCTAGAACAAGAAGAAGGTGCGCCGTGCACAGCCATCCGAGAGGTATCGCTGCTGAGAGAGTTGAAGCATGCGAATGTGGTCACTCTGCACGACATCATTCATACTGATCGAATGTTAACATTGGTATTTGAGTATGTGGACAGAGATCTGAAACAATATCTGGACGAGTGCATTGATTATATCAATATGCATAATGTTAAGGTGTGAGGATTTGCTGGCTTATGACGGGCAAAATCTTTGTTGAAACCGTATAATTTATAGACAGTTTGTGTGCATTTCAGTTATTCTTACTTCAATTACTACGCGGTCTGAACTATTGCCACAAGAGACGTGTTCTTCATCGTGATCTGAAACCACAGAATTTGTTGATCAATGAGAGAGGCGAGTTGAAACTGGCTGATTTTGGTCTGGCACGTGCCAAGTCTGTGCCCACTAAAACTTATTCCAATGAGGTTCGTTATGTTGATAGTTTAGTTTCATCGTTGTGTTTATTACAATAATGAGAATGTTTATGATAACAAGTGACTATTTAAGGTGGTCACACTATGGTACCGACCACCCGACGTTTTGCTGGGCTCAACGAATTATTCGACGCATATCGATATGTGGGGTGTGGGATGTATTTTGTTCGAGATGATATCAGGTCGTTGTTGGTTGTTTTGGATGGTGCTTCAAAGAGATTGTGCTCGTTTTTCATTTGACTAGACGAGTTGAGAATTTGTACATAGCAATGCTGAATGCAGTTTCAGGTCGTGCCCTCTTTCCGGGTTCAGCGGTCGACGAGCAATTGCTGTTGATATTTCACGTACTGGGCACGCCATCGCCCGCCCAACACCCCTCGATATGTAACTCATCCACATTCAAAAGCTATAAATTCCCTCAGTATTACCCGTCATATTTACCGAATATTTGCTCGAGAATTGATCAAATGGCACTCGATTTGTTGTTGAAATTACTCAAGGTTTGTGCTTTTCGTAGTTGACCTTGATTGCTATGATTGTGGTTGCGATGATGTGTGCGCAATAAGAATGATTTTGCAGTACGAAGGTCGCGAGCGACTGTCGGCCTTGCAGGCGTTGGATCATCAGTTCTTGCGATCCACTCTGCCCGACGTGGTATTCAAACTGTCCGATAATGAGTCAGTGATGAATGTGAATGGAGTAAAATTGATTCGTGAAACGTTCAGTCAGCGAGCTGTCACCAACAACCATCATCACCATCATAATGCAGCTGCTACAAAACACAAGTCGAATCAACGCCATAGTTTGATTTTATAACTTTGAGGTTCGATTTTTTTTTTAATTTTAAGAGATTATTTGATTTTGTATTGCTATTATCATTGATATGAATATTGATATTGGTGATTGTGATGGTTGTTATGAACGATCTGTTGCCTTTATCATTTTCATCAATAGCAGCTTGTTCAGTGATCTGTTGGAAGCATGGAAATAATTCTTATATCTTCATGAAGATCACTTTCTTTTTGAAAATTTTGTCGAATGTTCCATAATAGAAAAAGAAATTGTTTCATTTATGTATGGCAAATGAAATTTGAGTATTTCAGAAAATGGAGTATCCAAAGTTTTCAACTTATCATTGAGCAAACACTTTGAATTGCAATCGCAATTTATGTCATTTATCGTAAGAATAATCTTTCTTTTTTTTCTTCTTGTTCTTGAAGTGATCTCATTCTCAATGGTGTGGTCATTACAGATTTGCATTGTGCTCTTGTAATGAAGTTATATGATTCTTTGGTGTGGTTTGTTTAAAGTGATGTTTATTGTAATCTGTATTGTTGGTTTGTCGTTTGCATCGAACTTTCGATCGTTTGAATTCTCATTGTGGTTCGCTTTGTGATCAGTTGGTAATTTTGCGTTGGAAAATCGAATTTGATGATAATCTCATTCATATTGTAATTAATTTTCAGTTTTTGCAATGAACGATTTTCAAAGGAATTGGAACGAATTTCATTTTTGGCCACTGGAATTTGAGCGATTTAGAAGTGAAAAAAAANAAAAAAAACTTTTTTGATTAATCCAATTAAAAAATGTGAGAAATTCTTCTGAATGTTGAGAGAATTTTTACAGGGTTTTGAAGCAATTTTTGTGCTCGAAGAGATCTGATTGTATTGTGGTGTATATCTGTATTGATGTATGAAAATAACGAAACTTCATCCAATGTGCATGTTTGATGTGTTGTGACCAAAATATTTTCATGTTTACAATTCAATATTTTAATATATTGGAAAATTATTTGGGAACTTTTCTCACGGAACATTTTTTTCAGTTTTCACTTACTGTTCGGAATCGTTGTTCGGTTTTTGTTTTTCTGCTTTTATGAAAGTTTTCTTTTCTTTTCATTTTGCATTTCTCAACATTTATTTAAATGTTTTCGCATTAATTTTTCTGATGATCGTGAACACTGTTCAGTCGGGATTTCCAAATAAATAACCATATTTTATGTTGGGATTTTAAAGAATCGTTTAGTCTCACAATAATCGATCGTTCTATCAAGTTGATCTGTGTTAAAAAGTGGTATATACTTGTTCGTTGATTTCGATTGTTATGTATTTTTACATGATTAACTTATATTGAACGGAAGAAAAGTTTATTTATTTTATTTTTATTCGATATTTGATTGAATTGGATAGTGTTTATTATTTAGTGAAATTCCCTTTTTTGTTTCAATAATTTGCAGAATGTTTGTAAGTTAGGAATTGTTTGTGTATAATCGAGATTGATTGCATTGCGTGTCCCTGATCTAATTAATTGTAACTCGAGCATAATTTTTTCAATTCTTAATTTGTATTTCTAATTTTACACTACTATAACTTTATTATTGTAGTTGTTCTTGTTATAGTCGTTGTTATCTTTGTAATAATTATTATTGTAATTTTATAATCATTAATTACCATTGAGCAGCTCGTATTTCGTCATACTCGCACGCGAGGTTATATCCGATTAAGCGTGCAGTTGTAATCTCTTCGTAGATGGTTTACGGCTAATTCCATTAGCCTTGTCTTATGAATTTGTCATGGAATTGAATTTTGATATGGAATAAAAATTTGTTTTATGCGTTTTTTCAACCGAGCATTTTTTTCGCAAAGCTGTAATCCCGTATTCGGATCGCTTCAAAACCTCATCTCTAATGCCATCGACGTTTCAACGAAAACCGTTAAATAATAACAATCATCAACGAAAGAACCAATGGTGCTCTCTGAAGATTATATTTAACTATAAGATCACCATTTTGATCATCGTCATTACACCACTTCAAATAACCATTCATCATCTTGGTTGTGTTGTTCTCTGCCATCATTGTGATCGACATATTGCTATCTGCGTGTATAGACCGGTGATTATCATTACTAGATTCATTAATATGCATTCGCTGTCACTGATGAGATTTCAATTGGCAATTGTTAATGTTGATCAGTTTCTTTGCTCAGTTAGCTTTCAGTCATTATCGATGGTGATAGTTGTACGTATTCTTCTGCAGTTTAAACTCCTCGTTCATCCCTTGCCACAGATATGCCATTAACGATAAGTATGATTTCACTTCTGTTATATTGAGACTTCAATTCTAGCTGAGTCAGTGTTGAGTAAAGTTTCCATATACTTCATCGAAATGTGTATCGTCAATCATTGAAATGTGCATTTCCTTGCACACACATCAAACGCTTCAGAAATTCTGCACCGTGAATTACACTGGGAATTCTGCGCACAAACCTAACATTTCAGTTTTCACATAAAAAGATGTTATTTTCTTTTGTTTGTGAACATGAAGGCAAAATTTCAAAAAATTCTGTATTGTTAAGAAAGAAATTTATGAATAAATTCAGAGGATATCAACAGGATTCCCGTAGGAAACAAGTACAACATAGGAAACAATAAAATGATGCTTCACGATTAATATAATCTCATCGCAAGCCGCACATCTCATGCAGTCGTCTGTCTCGCGGTGTCGCGTTTTCAACTCATATAATAATGACTAACACGATGTTGTTGACAAAAATCCACACAAGTGCCCCACTCGGATGGGGAGTCAACCGCGCAGTGATACAGGGTACACTGCTCCCATTCACCAGAGACTATAAATTATTGCATCACCAGTTTATTCTGAGAACAAAATTTATTTTATTCGATTTGAAGTTGTTAATCACTGGTTGATGTTGAATCCTCATTCTTGATTACTTAAAAATCACCCAATATTTTGCAATTCATCAACTCGATCTCATCACAAGGACATTCGTTAGCAGAAATCTGATTGTTTAGTGACAAAATTCATCAAAAATACTTACCAACTACGTCTGCGGATGTCAATCCTTGTTGATTAGCGAACGTAAGCAGAATAATACAACATTGATGTTGAATTCATTAACAATTGGGAAAAATATTATGTTAGCACCGAAAATGCTTTTGATATCAAAGACAAGAAGTATTTACAGTTAGAAATGACATACATGACCAAAATATCGGCGGGGAGGGGGTGGCGTGTAAAGACGGCTTCCCAAGCCATCGAAGGGGATAATGGAGTTCACAAGCATGAGACATCCGAACGAGATAAATTCACAAATTCTCATATTGACACACACAATTTTGATGTTCCGTTCTTTCACTGATGTAGACCAAAGATTAGTCATCGAGCCTCATGTCAAACATTGACTGCATAAGAAGTTCTAATATGCAGTCAGAATGTGCGGCTTGTTTCAATTATGTAACATCTCCATTAAAATCATGTTGCTGTTGTCATGATGATTCTGCACATTATATGGATTAGATCATTTGGACTTAGCAAGAGTAATCACTCCATCAGAGGATCTCGGATTTAAGAAACTGCGTGGGTCCATCAATAAGCTTAAATATTTCAGCAAGGGAAATATTGTTTTGGATTCACTGGGATAGGAGATTCCGCACCGAAAAATATTCATTCACCAAGTTCCACTTTATTTATTCGATAAGCATTGCGTAAGAGTGGGCATTATATTTTTACTGGGTACTATCATTAAATAATTTCTTGGTGATGAGATGGAATTCGTGAATTGTGGACGATTGAAAAACTTTTTTACGTTTTCCGGGCAAAGCTGAGAAGACAGTGAGCTTGAATACACCATCAAACTC